AGCGCAAATTATTCAAGTACACTTCATCTTAATATGTAAATTATAACAAACACATTGCTCGATACAAAATGATTGCCCTTAACGATTCGAACGAAGCGTGAAAATGCGGGTCCGGTCTGCAATGTTTATTAAACACGATAAAAAATCATTAATTGTTAATTCATTAATCTTTAAACATCGTCGAACAACACTATGACGACGGTAGAAATACAAATAAGTAAGAACATTATGAATTTGGCAACAATAAGCACGTCCTTGGCATAACGCCACAGACAAGCACATAGAGGTAAAAAAATCAAGTATTTAATAAAAGCAATCAATTAAAATCCGTCTCTGTGCTGATACAATTAAGGGTGAGAGAATTTCACATCTTATAAACGCTCGCTTCCTTATTCAATAAATGTAAGTTATCTACCCAGTTCTGACTTGTTCCGATATTCAGATGCGCAAGAGTGCGCAGCCTAGCCGTCCGGTATTGAATAATGCTTTTACGATTGGATAATTCACACGAAAATCAATATTTATGAACGAAGTGCGAAAATTTTACGGTCCAATTGCTCCTCTTACTTCTAGTACATGATTTTTAACATCGTACCTAATTATTTTTGACGTAAATTAAACATTTTAAATGCGTACGTATACTTCCAAAGTGAGGGTAGAATTAAACCAGACTGACCCTTAGCCTGAGAGCGATGAAGTAACGCGGTAAAGTTAAAATCACAAAGTATACATGGCACCCTGCATATCAAGTCGACGTGCTGTCGACTCTACTAGAAATATAAACGCTGCGCAATTTTACCTTAATGCAGCGCCAAGCGTTTTAATATTTACTCATATTGCCATACAAAGAGCCGCGACGTTGACATGCGACGCCGTCGCGACGCCGCTATTCTTCTGGTATGACGGGACAACACGACAATAGAAGAGAGGGCATCGTCACCAAACTCACACAGTAGACTTTTATAGAACTTTTATATCTTAAAAAATCATATTGGGATTTACCCCAAGAAACTCTTCTCGCCGCTAATATTTAAGCCGATATCACATCCTATCCTTATTATTAAAATGTGAAAGTTTGTGAGCATGGATGGATGTTTGTTACTAATTTATGCAAAAAATACTGAATGGATTTAAGACCCAAAAATAGCATATGATAATTTTTACACTGGGTTTTTAAAGTGGGAATCATGTATTTCTGTGGCAGATTCAAATTCTCGCGGACGAAGTCGCGGGCCAAAACTACTTTGTATAAAATTTCTGGTGTTAAATGTCACCTTATTACGGCTGAATAAGTTGCCACAGAAACGACGCCTACGCATGAATCAATACTAACATCGCTACGTTTAGTCTATCTCAGAACATTTTAATTTCAGCGTCTATTTTAAAATGATTAAGTAACACCACTGTTTTGTTTTTTGGACTAAAACTATTGGATTGAGCTAACCTTTTTGTAAAATAGAAAGTCAATCTAGGTACGTGATTTCAGTTACAAAATGTTCATTAACTGAGCACAACTCGATTCAAGAACATTTGTGGCGTCTGTTAAACAATAAATTATATAACAAAGTAGGTACTAGATTACATTTAGTATTAAAATTGAATGAACAGAGACTAAATTGGAAATACAATCTAGAATGTTTTAAGTTTCAGACAATATAAAAACATGAGACGCCCGGCACAGTCAATCACCAATCAAATAAGAAAATGTTACGTTGATACGGACGACAGCACATTAAGCTGAACAGCTAAGTATCTTAAACAGTTGTGAATAAGAGCGAATTTGCAACGATAAGTATAGTCTTATGTGCCGTCGACTGTACCTAGATATGTAATCAATTGATTAAAATAACGTTAACAATAATGTACTAAATTATCACGGTTGATTTTTTTTAATACACTTGCTCTATTTTAATAGCAACTATTTACTGTTTCAATATAATAAGAAATAAACTACGTCACTGTTTCACAAAGAAATACATCCATTAGAACGCGGAAGTGTCTCTTGAGTAATATTTAATTCAATAATAACCATAATATTATTATGTTCATTTTGATTCGTCGATAGATCATTAAACTATGACATAAGTATTTTACGACATTTCTCTGAACGTCATCGGCATAAACTTATATTGAATCACAATCACAAGCTTTTGCAATTCATTTTGAAGGCATATATCGTAACATCTATCTCCAATGTTCTGGTAATATTGGAATAAAGTCCCATGAGAACACAAGTTAGATCGAGTTGCACCTCTTTACTGAAAGATCTTATCTGGACTCATCTCTTACAGCCAAAATTAATAATCTAACCTACCTAGGTTATACTATTTATCCTACTATAAATAGTATAACCTAGGTAGGTTAGTCTTTTGTTCTGAAAATCTTAGTAAGTAGGCACTAGGCAATTCAATCATTCGATAAGGGTTATTTGATGTTTAATGACTCTTTTGTACTATAATAAGCACTGTCAAGATTTTAATTGCCATTTTCACCAAAATAATTTCCTTTGGTAATCTTTGTGTTGATAAGGGCGCGTGAACTTTCGCTTTAGAAATCAATGGCGATTCTGGTCACTGACCCTTTTGAAGAATCGGTAAATTAGAATTATTTTATTATTGATGTCGCTATTTCATTACTTCAACTTTTATTTTTTCAGAACAATAGGGACTACGACAGTAAGAACTCTCACGCCCGTATTCACAAACGATTGGTTCGTGTGTCACTCTATGTGTCCGCTCACACAGTGAGACCTCATAGTAATGTTTGTGAATAAATTCCAAAAATCTCTGTTAACTTTAAAAACGCATCAAACATCGCAAAACAATAATGAACTGTACGCACAGCATGATCCTCATATTTTACGATATTATTGACTTCCCAACAGATATTTTGTGCCAATTTAATTGATGAATAATGCAAAGCTCGTACTCGCTACATCATTGTAATTTATAGTTCATAACGAATTGATGACAGTGAACAAGTAAATGTGTTGGTGATATTTAGTCAGCAAATAGGTAAACAACTAAAGTGTAAGCTGATCAAAGCGATAACCTAATACTTTAACTAAAATAATATTTTCATCCACGACACCGAGTTCCTATCCTGTTTTCAAGATTCTTCTCTCGGACAAACAAAATTAAAACCATTGGAACATTCATCCAGAAAGTATTGTTGTTCTTTCTTTCACGTGCTTTCAAATCATTTGCCAAGTTACATAGCGAGCGCCACGGCCATCTCTTAGCAAATTATAATTAAATTCTTAGCAAATTCATCATCATCATCAACAGCCCTTTACAGTTCACTGCTGGGCATTGCTGCTTAGCAAATTATATTTATTTATTCAAGAAACGAAAAACATAGGTATCTAATTAGCAACCAGCTAATTATACAAAGCTTTTACCAGTTACAGGCTTTTTATTTTAAGATTTCCTCAATTTAAGTAGAAGTTTAGTCTAATTAAACAAATGCTTTAAGTATTTTTAGCTTGTTTTTGCCTATTCTATTAGCTTTCTGTATTAACTTTATTGCTCAAATAAAAAAGGAAGCTTGTAAATAATATCAAACACGACAAATTATATTAATTAAATAAGATAGACTCAACCATAACATCAAAAGAATTAGTTTAACCTTTGAACGCCCAGTCCTTATTTGAGTCTAAATCTCATTACTACAAATAAGATCAGATACACTCGGATAATTCAGCAAATTATTGGGGACCTAAGCTCGCTTTGCCATAAGAATATCAATCAGGGATTAATGAAGCAGTATACTTAAAGCTTCAGGAAAACATAGCGAGATTTTCTGAATTAAGAGGGACTTATACTTTTCATGTTGTAAATACTTCCTTCAGTTGCTTTAATGGTCTTATTTATATTAATATATTTACATAGAAGCAAGCTGAAGATGAAAGAAAACCAAATGCAGGTTTGGCAATTTAAGAAAAGTGTTTTTGAGGTGCTTTTAAATATCTAAGATCGTGTCTTTAAACCCATTTCAATCAATCCATAAAAAAGCAATCAATCTGAAACGCTTTGTTTTATTGTGCACTTTATATCAATACATCACTTGAAATCAAATAAATGTTGTAGAGAAATTCAGTTAATTCCATTGATTAAAAAAATACAAAAAGATCAAGAAAAATAATCTTTATGGTCGATTACGTATCATTTATATTATTAAATTGTGATTGTGAAATGAAATTATCTGTAATACGATCAATCGTTTACAATTACGTAGAACCGGCAAATGTGATGATGTTGTTTATTAAACAACTTAATGACTCAATCATTCATAAGAGTTTTATATAATAAATTAACTTAACGCGTTTATGAATCGATAAATCGATAGATCTAAAATTTTGATTGATTATTATGATCGACAAAGTATCAAATAAGATTACTCTCTGTACCTCACTAATATCAATCAATAAATTCAAAGATAGATTGTACCTACGTACAGTCGTCAGTATAATTCATGATATTTCATTGCAAAATCGCCTCTATTGTAATAACTCTAGTGTTGTACATTGTTTGTCTTGATGAGGCATCATTTGTACATCTCAATTTGTAAAAACACAATTCGTCAGACATTTTTTAATTTCACAAGTTACAAAGATAAATGGCCGTCATGAGATCCGGAAGGGAAATCTGCTACCAGATTTCGGGAAATTAATCTGAGTGAGTGAGAGGAATCGTGACCTTAATACAAGTTTCCCTGAGTTTTATGGCATTCCTTGTTCCCTTCTTACATGCGTATAAACGTAGTTCTTTGTAGATTCATGTCGCTTACTCGTATCTTATCAGTTTTATAGTGGTAGGAATGTCGCCAATTTGCGTTGAGCTAGGTCTGGCAGTCTCATGCAAACTTAGGCCTTGTATTTTTATGGTTAGTGGATAAGGCTCATAATAAAAGAATCGTTTTAATACTACTTGACAATTTTAAAAGTGGAAAGAGATTAAGTTTTTATTATACATATTTTTTTGCAATAAAAAGATACTTACCTAGTGTATCCGAAGTCCAGTAAAATCTGAAATAACCAAAAATGTAACATTAGACATCAGTAGATAACAAGCTTTTATTGAAACTAAATTCAATTTCACTTCTCTGATTAAGTGCGAAATAAGTTATACAAACAAAATTCATCGAAATATCATTATAATTTAAGTGCCCAACTGTATCAGTTTTTGCCTCAAAATGAAATTCAAGTCCAAAACTTTCACTTCAAGATCTCAGCAGGACTATAAAAGATATTTGTTTTTTACAATGAGGCTTTTAAAGCTGTTTTACACCCCAATATAACTTTAACCGTATTGCTTCAACACAATAATGTGGGCGTAGTACTCAAAGGTACACTCAGGCACTTAAACTTATACGTAGACTATACTTTTGCAAAATCGCAACTTGATTTTCCTTGGTGTATAATTTTTACCTTTTTCATATTTTTGTGTCGATAGCAAAATTATCCTTTAGACTCCAAAGGCTTCATTTATTAATCTACATAGTACCAGGTACCAAAGTTTTTGCTGACCTTTTGTTAAATTGGTCAAATTATGCATTACTCCATCCATTGTCAGCGTTTCGAAATTACGATTGGAAAACTTGGACAATAAGCGACCGTGACGAAACACAACTTTCTTACAAGGGATCATTTGGAGTAATGGACAAAACAAAGATACATAAGTATTATGTATTAGTATGTAATGTCTTCTTTCAATATCTTTGATATGTAAGTATACCTAACACCTGTTAAGTAATGGGACGTACACTGAACTAATGTTAAACGACTTGCATTTTTAATGCTATTACATCTTGTTTTATGAGGAAATATTATGTACAAACCATGAAAATATTATGATTTTAATTCATATTGATTACTTCACGTCACCTATGCGTTTCTTGGGTATCCCAATGTGAAAATACGAGTAGACCAATTTCCAGTTTCAGTTATGTAGAGTTTGTTTGAGTTTAATCTTAGGAACGCACAATTAACACAGCAGCACTGCTTTGTCATTTGTCTATTGCTGTACAATTAGCGACAGCACATACTGGGCTACAAATCGCTTTAATAGCTTGTCGTTTACTTACAGCTAATTTATGAATTGACGCGCGCGTTTTGTGGTCGCGTCTGTCGCTGCGTTTTGTCGCCCAATGTGCGCTGTCGCTTATTCTACCCAATAAAGTTATCAATTCAATAATTTCAATAAGACGTGCGTCTAGACTACGACAACTAAAGACAGTAAGAGGAAAAACGTCTTCGTACCTACTTAATAAATTTAATAAATATATTATTTAGTAATATTTCCAAACACAAAGCTGAAACGAAAAAAAAAATATTAGATTTTCTGTGAAAAGAAACCGATACAAAGAGCTGTGAGAATAAGTAGGTACAATCTATTTTTTCTTTATAACAAACAATTTCGAAGAAAATCTTGGTACGTAAGTCTAAATTACTACAAAACTGAAAGTTTGTAAAATCTGCGCGTAACTTTGCTGTTACTTTTTATAATGATGTAACCCGATAGTCAACTTCATAAGAAATTAAAACAATCAGAAACGTTTAAACTCTAACAATCTCGATACATAGAAAATATTATTTCGCACAAGTCTAACTTTATAAGTAAAGTTCAAGTAAAATTAATTTTCCTACATATAAACTCTGTCTAAAATTCACAATACACAACTTAATATACATTGTAATTAATTAAACATAGAAACGAGTGAAAAATGGCAGCGTCTTATATGTTTGCCTTTCATGTGCTACTCCTGGCTCGAATAAATAAATAAGCTTAGGGAAATTAAGGTACAGTTTAAATGAACACGATGAGGATCTTAATGAATGTACTCCAATTAGAAGATCCAGGTCGAGTCGGGTTTAAACGCTCCAGCGGTAGGTGCAGTCTTTGTATTTAGAAAATAGACCTAGGGCTATATGTCGCCTATAAAAGTGACACAGGAAATCTTAAAGACATTTAAGCACGTTCGTTTTAATTGAAATAATAAGCGAATAAATAATGTTACTCCAAGTCTACCGATAATTAAGATTAGGTACGCCAGTACACTCATACATAGTTGTTCTCCATCGTCACGCAGCAAGTAGATTAAGATAGATAGAAATTACATCAAAGCCATAATACTCAGAGATGTCCGAGAACTGTCCTATCTCTTCAATAATTAGAATTGGATTTCAGGTTCTTGAAGATTTTGCACGGCGTCAGAATTTTAAGTGATAGCAGCCCTAAGAAGACCACACTTTGAAGCTAACTCAATTACTGGCGACCGAAGGCTCGAGAGGCATCTTTAACAGATAATAAATACCACCAACTTCCCATAAGAGGTGATTGACCATCTGCGTATAATTTGAAATCCAAATTAATGAGAAAACCAAAACTCTTTGTAAAATCACACCTCCGAATCTAACATGTTTTTCAGGTTCAATTGCTTCTCGGTACATGCGGTTCATCCTTGTATTTTTAAGGGTCACTTGTTCATCCTAAAGAACGTCAACATATTCCAGCTGAAAACGTTGCCGAAGATTTCTAAAAAGTAGATACATACGAGTTGTAACAGCTATATTCCAGGACCTTCCAACTCTCTTATGCCACGATCCTTGTTACAAACACCAGACATTATTTAAATTTTTCTCATCGCCAGAGTCCTGTGCAACAAGCTTTAAAGAGTAGAGCGTATCTTCACCTTAAAGGCCGGCAACGCACCTGTAACGCCCCTGGGTCTGCGGGTGTCTATGGGCGACGGTAATCACTTACCATCAGGTGATCCGTCGTTTGCCTCCTGTCACATAAAAAAACCACGAACTTGAAAAGACGCCTGTAATAACAAAAGGTCAGACTTATTTATGAAAAAAAAAGTTCGTCTCATAGAGCATTGCCCTCAAATAAATGTCAGCTGAAACTAGTACCAAAGCCAATCAATTAATCTGTGTCAAGGTTAACTGACGGTGTCTGCAGCCAAGTCTTTGTTTAGATGTTAATTGCCGTCACAATAAAGCCTGGAGTCCATTGATAGGTATTTGCACAGTTTTTATACGATAAAAGATAGTGTTTTGTTATAAGAACCTACGCGAATCTATGTTCTGGCCTTCAAAACAATTTTTGATGTCTTAATTTGAGTTCACAAACTTTTTATAAGTGTAAAAATCCGCACAACACATTTTGTCACTCCTTTCATATTACTCGCACTCTTTTGTAAGTCGACACCATATCAGACTCTGACGACAATCAGCAGCACAAAAAGTTGTCAAAGTTAAACAGCTGGAGTCCAGTTTGAATTAAAAAACCTTTCTTGGAATACGAGTATGCAACGAAGCAAAAGAAAATTAAGAAGTAGCACCTAAATATCCACCGGGCAGCGCAAGACGGTTCATTGTGGAAAGCCTTGGGGGAGGCCTTTGTCCAGCAGTGGACGTCATTTGGCTGTAACGAACGAACGAACCTAAATATAATGGCAGTAGGTAGATAATATCACTTATTTTCTTAAATTTTTCATACACTCACGACTCTACACCCCCGACTTCGTCACAGGCTTCAAACCCAGTTGGGTACTAATCTACTTAGCTCGCATATTATATCATATGGGTCTGGCCTGTATCATACAATATTAAAACACAGAACTCGCTATCAACCAAGGAATCTAAAAATTGCGACATTTACCCGCATACTGACCATGAATTAATTAATCAACGTTGTTTTACCTTTACCGATAAAAACTAACCGACGATGTTACCTTACAAATTAACTTTGACCTAGAATAATGTTCAGGATTAGCTATAAAAATTATATGTTTTATTACCGTTTCTTTATCAAGCATCTTTCATCTCTACATAAAATACAATCTTCAATCGCCAGGTTTTACGGTCGACTTAATAAAAACGATAATTTAATTTCAAATTGCCTCAAAAGTCAAATATAGTTTTTATATTTTTACAATTAATCAGCAATTAACCTATAAAAAGCAGCAATTAATACCACTGTATTTCTAAATTAGTACAATTTATACGGTCGCGACGAATTTCTGATTCTGACGGAGACTCATTGTGGCTTTTCACACTGACTTACTTATAAGGAAACTAGATGTGGCAATAACCACTGACTTTACTACACTGACATAATTGGAATTTTGTTATGAACGTAGAATACATCAAGAACATAGGTATGCACTAACTACGGTGATCCAACGAAACAATTAACTAAACTTGTAAGTAGATTTTACAATAACTTTTCTAGTTTTTCGAGCACAAATACACAGATCATCTGATGATTGACATGACGTGTCAACATGGATGATATTACAATAGCCAGTATTAAGATATTAACTTCGGAAATTCATTTAAAAATGCTCCCACGCCATTTTTAAAAACAATACTGACAACATAATAAGCATGAGAGGCCAGACGATGAATTATTAATAACGAAATATTAAATTGGCAATAACTCGAATTGGGGCGAAGAATGTTAACTTTATTGGTGTTAGTTAGTTTTAATACAGCAAACTTTCCTATCATTACTGGACAATAGCAAACTGTTTTATACGAACAGAAACAAGTAGGTACTTAACCCAAAAACAATGCAGGTATTTGACCGCAATCTCACCTGATGTTAAATGCCTAAGCTTCCCAGTAAGGGATTTACTCTCGTATTGTGAAGGTTCAGATTATCTTAACTAAAGTTTGGATGCATACCAGTAACAAATTTAATTCAAATTCGATCTGCACATCCAGTATAAATGTTTTATAGCAATGTCTCTGAATATATTACTAGCTGATCAGTTAGGTCGGACATGTGGAAGTAGTTCGATCAACGCCTGCGTATTACTGGGAACTAAGTGAAAGCAGAGGATATCAATCCCTCTTTATAACATGGTTAAGGCTTCTTCCTACTAATATTGCGTACGTGATAAAGCAATATTTGATATCTTGCATGTAAATTACGAGCAATATTCGATGTCTCATTTGAGGAAGTAACTTTTATCACAAATGTGTGAATAATATTCAGACGAAACACTTGGCGCAGT